TGTTTTTAGTTTTATGTCATTTAGGGTATTGAGGGGGTATTTTTTGTATCAATACTTATGTTTAGGCATATAAGTTATAGTAGTCATATACTCATATTTAGATAAATGACTATGCTCGAGTCATATTTCAGTAAATTCCCCTATAAACAATTAATTTGATCTAGTTTCACATGCACACTGATCTGGTTTGTTATTTAGTTCAGGAAGGAAAGGCCTTGAAGCTTCTTGCAACAGCTGCACGGCTGGATATAGAAGATTTCTTGCAAAAGAAAGTTTTTCTCGAGGTACAGCTTTATGTAGGCATTGTCATCTTGAATTTCAAGTCCATAACAAGTCAAACTTGAGTTGAAATTTAGGGTAGAACATTCTAAAAGCATGTTAATTTCAAACAGATAGAGGTGAAGGTTAAAGAGAATTGGAGGCAAAATGAAGGTCTTCTAAAGCACTATGGATATGGTGGGCAAATTCAAGCCTTGTAATGGGATATATTCCGTTTGGGGATCAATAGCGACGGTGATGAAGACTTCATAATGAGTGAAACTTGGTCCTCTGTTGACCAGACATACAAATAGAACTAACCAGAGCAGTGCATGCAGTTCAAAATACAGGCTTGTGCAAGAACATTGTATGTAAAAAATTAATGTCAGCTTTATTTCTGCATTATTGTGACGCTGGACGTGGGGAGCTACTACTGATGACAGCTACATATTCTTCAAAATATGGCAACCCTAGATCACTAGATGCATGGATTGAATTCTACTTGTAAGTTTCTCAGCTTGTTTCACTTGTCATATTGATAGACACCATATCTAATACTAATATATTTAAGGGGAATTCTCATTTGTTATTATAACCAATAGTATATGGATCGGAATTGCTAAGTGCAGTCTTCTCTTATGAGACAGCTATCTTATACTCTTATAGTTTGAATAGTTATCGACATTAGCATCTGCATCCAAAATGACTTCTGAGTTCTGACTTCTGACACACTTGGTTTTGATGTTATGTATTTGGTTCTGTATGTGCAAAATAGCGGTTAAATTTTGCATAGACAGTATAAGACATATTTTGTCTGAGAACGGAATCCAGACAAAAAAAGAGTCTTTCACAGACGTGGTGGGTATAAAAGTGGGTATAAGGGTGGGTACAAATATCTTTTTTGATTGTGTCCATGGATGTAATTCATGTAAACTAGGTGGTTCAACCACCACAACTTGGCTGTCGTGCGCTGTGATCTCATTTAGACCAATGTTTCACTGAACAACCAAGGTTGTTCAAATTGAACTCTTGAATCGAATTAGGGAGAAGGTTTTGGAAGCTGAACCGCTATCTTAAATCATAAGACTTTACAGAATACATAGTATATAATAAAAAAAATAAAAAAAATATAAGTTAATAATATTAACTCAACTCATGCTTTAAAACTGTACATGTGTGGTCATTAACAACATTTTACACCATTTGTTAGTGTCAAGCACACTAACAGTAAACACTTAACACAATAACACATGTGAAAAAAAGAAAACATTTAGTGGCCGTTTGGAGGACGGTTGATAAGCATGAATGTACAAAAAGTTCACGAAACACCGCTTAAATGGGTTGATTCTTATTATTATCAACTGAAAAAGTAGTCCAATCCTTATTTTTTCCGGCTGAATTCTATTATTATACCGTTAACTATTTAAGAGACATATTTATCATCTTCTTTTTACGTCCGTACGGTATACTTCTTCTCTAACTCTCTTATGTCCATCTAGCCGTCTTCTTCCCAGATTAGCATTCCTTTATTAACTTTCTTAGGTTTACCTGCCCAAATTTCTATTCTTTGTGGTTTCACTTGTTGTGTTGTTATTCCAAGTAGATATGGTCTTATTATCTGCCTTTGGTTTTTCTTGTATTTTGTACGTGGCTTGAACATTTTAGACTTGCTCAATTTCGAATTTATTGTGGTTTTTAGCGCACTTGTAATTAAATTTCGTTGCTATTCAAAATAATCTTCCTTACGGAAATGCGATGGAATAAAGCAAAATGGTATACTAAACGGTCTACGCTTTTTTGTTATGAAGAATTAATCAGTGCATGCAAATTCAACGCGATTTTCACAATGGGTCATCCGGAAACAATCTCCTTATGCTTTAGTGCAAGAGGAACACTGCGTACATCCGACCCCCCCTTATTCCACCGTAGGTGGGAAGCCTTTGCGGCATTGGGGTAATAATATGGTAATTCTACATTCAATCAATCATTTCAACTAGGGATGGACCGGGCCCGGGTCGGGCTATGGGCGGGACCGGGTTTGGCAACTGGAGGCCCGATACTGTTTTTTTGTTTTCCTTGTTTGTTCCTCCCCACCCCCCAAACACCCCCAAACCACCCAGCCCAACCCGCCTACCCCCAATCCATTCGAAAAACAAAAAAAAAACATTTTTGGCCCAGACCGGTCGGGCCAATTCCAAGAGGGCTTAAGCCCGTGACCCGCCCCCAAACCCCCAGGCCCGGTCCCGCTCCTGATCAACCGGGCCGGTCCGGTACCGCACAGTGGCGGTCCGGGCCTGTCCGACCGGTCCCGGTCCACCCATAACTCAACCAACATACTACGTATTACTAAACACTTCCACTTCAGTAGATTCAACTTTTTCAAGCCTTTTACCCATTCCAATCATTACCAATTGCGACGCACACAACGAGAACTATCAACACTAATTTGTTTTTCCATAGCCCTAGCCCGTCTCGTTGTGCAAAGAGCAGGTCATGGGGCTATCTCTTGTTCACTGTTTGTGTCAGCGGATGTCTATTGCTACGCTTAATTCCTGATTGAATTATTTTATCTTCTTCTTCTTTGTCCAAGGTGTGGTTCTATTCCATCTCGTTCAATACTCATTCTATTGTTGCCATATGTAAATAAACTTAGCCTATCTTCTTGTTTGTGCCGTTCTCCTTTCTTGATTTTGAGTGATTTTAATTGGACTTGCCCCAAATTGTTCCTTTCTGGTTAGTGGAAATTGCTTTCCCCAATTCATGGCTTCTTTGCTTGAAATGTTTTTATTCATCCACATATATACTTTTGGTATAGCACACAACGTTACTCAGCACTTCAATTAAAAACGTTGTTTATGATTTGAATTTTATATCTATTTCTTATAAATATAAATGATTTCCAAATATTTTCATTAAAAAATACTCCAAGTACGATTTTGCCATGATCATAAATGATTTAAGGCTAAAGATTATATTACGTATGAGATAATAATTGAGATGCTTGATTATATGGTATGGCCTTAGCCATATATATATAAACACTTACGTAAAGCATGCTGGCGAACTAACTCAGCATGTGATAAGCTCCAGGATCCTAAAAGCTAGGCTAAAATATACAAGTGGTTGGAGTTGATATATACAATAAAATAATGGATAAACACTAGCTACGTGTATTATTAAATTATACTTTATCATGCCCCCGCAAGCGAGGTGGTCGTGGAAGGACCACGAGCTTGGAACGATGTGCTTGAAAGAGATGGCGTGACAAAGTATAAAGATGGCGTGACAAAGTATAATTTAATAATACACATAGTCAGTGTTTACCCATTATTTTATTGTATATATGATTTAAGGGGTGATAAAGTATTTTAAATAGATATAGGGGATGTTTGGAACTGATTGTGCTTCTGCTTCTTTTTTAAAGAAGAATCGGAATCAATTTTCAGAAGCTTGTTCCCCCAACTTGTAAAAAATCGATTCTAGGAGTAAATTAAAGCACTAGAACCACTTCTGCATTTTCATCCAAACACTCCAGCTTCCGCCTCTGCTCTCTGAACGAGCAGAATCAATTTTAAGAATCAGATCCAAACACCCCCTTACATGAATCTACTCATCTTTTTTAAGGTATTTACAACTTTAAGTTCTGTGTCTGGTTTTAGAGTTGTACACTTGTACAGTTTCACTATTTAAGCGCTATTTTCAAAGCCTTGAGTTCAACCACCACCACCACCACCACCACCACCAACATCTAACAACAACATCTAAGCCGTATTCCTAATGTATTTTAGGGTCGGCTAACATGAAACGATCTAAGATATCAGATTCATATTTCGATTCACCTCCCTTATTTATCCTGGCTTGGGACAGACATGATATAAAAAATGATCTCATGACGGAGTTCAACCACCAATCAGGCAATTTAGGCTTTTAAGGTTATACTTCCTCTGTTCGGTTTTAAGTGCAACATGCACTTGGGCACGGAAATTAATAGGCAATGAATTAGTGTTGAACTTGCCACTTTTACCCTTCATTATACGGAAACCACAGCTGCCCAAATAAATTGCTACAGTGTGTAATAGTGGACAACAGTCTACTTGCGATGAAATAACCAAAAGTCCAAAAAAAATTCCTCAAGCAAGAACAACAGAAGGGTCGGTGCTGAGAAGTGAGAAACGAGAGGTAAGATGATTTTCGGTTACAGGTCTGGCCGTCCGGCGAAGTACAAGTAATTCTTGAAGTGCTGAAATAGTCTATCGTCTACAAACAATAATTCCAAGTCGAATCAGAATCCATGGCCCCTCGTAATTAACCAAAGCATTAATTCACAAAGCCTCAATCATATTCTCGTAACAGGAGCAAAATCGGTTTCATCTACATCCATGTCTTCCATTTCGACGGTAACTAAAATACAAACCAGAGGGAAAAAATATTAAAGACGAAGATGATACGAAAAGAATTAGAGAAATGGTTGAGTTGGTGATGAAAGTAGATGATGGTGGGAAGATGAAAGTAATTTTGGTTGGGTGGGCAGATGAAAAGATAAAACGGAAGATGGAGAGGCTGTAAGCAGGATGAAATTGGAATTGGTGGATGGCGGTGAGTGGAGATGGTAAAAGAAAGTGTCAGATAAAGTAGGTAAAGATCGGAGAGTGCGTAAACAATTAAGGGTATAGAAGGAAATTTGGTTAGTGTTTCTTTCCCAAAATAGAAAGGTTGCATTTAATTTGAAAAATACGAAAAAGGAAAGTGTTGCACTTATTTAAGAACGGAGGAAGTATGACTTATATCACAAGCCTACAAAGGCACAAAAGAAGGAAAAGAAATACACAAGTGGACAAAAGCCATTTTCCCTCTTGCGAGATCAAACAATATTACTTGTTCTTCTCAAGTTAATTCAGTTTCCACCATGTACGTACGTATGCAACATATATTGTTAGCTTCTATCTGGGTATTTGATTTCAGAAATCTTCCTTTGTTCATCTAGGATCCAATATCGAATAACATAAACGAGAAAGCCGGAGCATAACCCAGCAGCAGAAAGAATAACAATAGCCCGGAACCAAACGAGAGATTGAAATGCCATCAACATAATTGCATCCCATAACCAGAACCACAAAATGGAGAAGCCAAACCCTACCATAGCACCCACAAATACTTGGCTAGTTGTATGAAGCTTTTGGGAAATCCGTAGCCATGACTGCATATAAAGAAAATATCAAGTATTGAGATTATAAAATCTTTCCAGTAAAACCTTCAAAATACTATGGTATTTCAGCTTGGGCTGCTAATTGATTGTAGAACTTGAGGCTATACCGATGTAAATGAACCAGTTGGCATCTTCGGTAAATTGATAGGAGTTTGAAGAAGAAGTAAATGAATGCCATTTGACTAACTACATCAGTAAGAACAATTAATATGGTACATTTGCTAGTGATATTTTTAAATGCACCAAAGCTCATGCTAAATGAAAGACTTATCGTCATATCCTATCTGTTTGATAAAGCAAAGAAGTTTCCATATGAACATAAACTTCAGAGAAAAGCATATTATAATTCGTTCTGAGAACTGTCGAACATCTAGAACCCCATCCAGCACAGTGCAAGTTCCAGATGTGGATATGTGCCACATCATTGATAATAATAGGAGGCAAAGTGTATATGTTGTCACATGTTTGTCAATGATAGGCAATAGAGCTTGTATCAGTCATTGTGTTGATCATCATATTTGCCACCTTAATTCCGACAAGGCCGTGGTGGGTGAAATGAACTTTATAGATTCAATAAAGTCTAAGATTGTTTTCTGTAGGTTTTAGAAATAAAACTTCCTTGGATATTATTCAGCCATCCGGCAGTGGTATATATACAGAATACAGATAACAACTATTCTGTTCAGATCCTAAATAATAGGATCTAACTATCTATGAGCTTATCTAATAATTAATGAAGTCTATGAGCTCTAACCTCTTATCTATACACTACATACGTACATAAATAAAGTTACAAATTTATGTCACATTTTTCTACACTCCCCCTCAAGTTGGTAAGTAAATATCATACATTCCCAACTTGCTTATAAGTAGTTCAAACACTGGTTTGAACAATCCCTTTGTGAAGATATCAACTGTTTGTTCTTTTGTAGATATGAATGGAGTACACACAATCCCAACCTCAATCTTTTCTTTGATAAAGTGTCTGTCCACTTCAATATGTTTGGTACGATCATGTAGCACAGGATTATGAGCAATATTAATGGCTGCCTTATTATCACAATATAACCTCATAGGTAAATCCATCTTCATTTTCAGTTCTGAAATTACTTTCTTGATCCATAGTAGTTCACAGATTCCATTAGCCATAGATCTATTACCATCTTCATGAATATGCAGCACACTATTACCATCTTCACTAGAATTCTCCCCCTGAAGATGAGTATTAAAAAAGGTTGATTTTCAACAAAACTAATGTTCATTGTAACAAACATCTTCTTTGTTGTAGGATCAAAACATTTATGTCCTTTCTGAGTTGAAGACAGTCCTAGAAAAACACATTTTGAACCCCTAGGGTCAAATTTGCTTGCTGTTCTGTCAGGATTGTTAACAAACACTGTGCAGCCAAATATTTTTAAGGGAAGAGAGCTGATAAGTCTAGTTGTAGGAAAACATTTTTGAAGTGTATCAATAGGGGTTTTAAACCCTAAAGTTTTTGATGGCATCCTATTAATTAAATAGGTAGCATGTAAAACAACATCTCCCCATAAATATTTTGGAACTCTAGTTGAAAACATAATTGCACGAGTGACCTCAAGTAAATGCCTATTTTTCCTCTCAGCTATGCCATTCTAAGCAGGTGTATTAATACAAGAACTTTGGTGTACAATCCCTTTTTCAGCAAAAAAAAAATTCAAGCTTTGAGAAAAATACTCACGGCCATTGTCACTTCTTACCATTTTAATATTGGTATTGAATTGAGTTTGAACAATTGAGTAAAATTTTTTAAACACATCTTCAACTTCAGATTTTTCTTTAATCAAGAAAACCCATGTGACCCGTGTGTGATCATCTATAATGGTTACAAACCATCTCTTTCCTTTCAAAGTAGAAACTCTAGATGCACCCCAAATATCACTATGCACAAGAGTAAAAGGACTAGTTGGTTTGTAACAATGGGGAATATAAGAATTCTTATGATGTTTGGCAAGTGCACACATATCACAATGAAATGATGAAGATCTTTATTATGAAATAACTGAGGAAACAATCTTTTTAAATAATAAAAACTAGGATGACCTAATCTATAGTGCATTAAATACACCTCATTATTACAAGGAAAAGAACTAGTTTGCAGACAAGCCTTTCCTTGACCTTGTTTATTTAATTCAGTCCCTTCATCAAAGATATAGTCCATCTTCCTCTCTAGCACCGCCAATCATCCTCCCCGATGCCAGATCCTGAAAAATGCAATAAGAGGGATAAAATCTGACACAACACTGAAGGTCTTTGGTTAACTTGCTAATAGAAATAAGATTACAGGAAAGTTTAGAAAGGTTAATGGATGAGGAAATATTGACATTTCCCATTCCTGCAATGGCTGAAAAAAGAGTCATCTGCAACTTTGACTTTTTTTCCCCTGCACAAGGTGTATATGAAGAATAGACATTTGGAATAAAGGTCATGTGATCAGTTGCACCTGAGTCAATGACCCAGGTGGTTTTTGATTTTTCAAAACAGAAATATGATGTAATTTTACCATTTTGGGCAAAAGAACAAGAGGGGGTTTCTTGGTTGGGTATTTTTTGGATAGCTAGAAACTGGAGTAGGTGCTCTATCTGTTCCTTTGTGAAAGGAAACTGTTTGGAATTGACTTCCTGCTCTTGTTGAGTTTAAATCACAGTAGTATTGAGAGCTTTTTCAAACTTCTTTTTTCCTACTCCAGGTGGCTTTCCATGGATCTTCCAACAAGTCTCCCTTGTGTGCCACAGCTTCTTGCAGTGATCACACCATGGATTTTTCCTCTCTTCTCCCTTGACCACCAATGCTGAGGAGTCTCCAGTATCATCTGAGGTCCTGGAGTGTTATTCATAATCCTTTTCCTGCTCTCTTCAATTCTGATTTCAGAGAATACCTCTCTGATTGAAGGCAAAGGCTTCTTTCCCCGAATCCTTCCCTTCACTTCATCAAAACTTTGATTAACTCCTGCCAGGAACATATAAACCCTGTCATTTTCTTCTCTCTTTTTGTGTTTGGCCAAATCTTTTGCACTTTCCCATTCATCATCATAGTACTGATCCAATTCCTGCCATAGAGACACCATTTCATTGAAGTAGGTAGTGACATCTCTATCTCCTTGTTTGGACTACCAATGAATGGTTTTTAACTCAAAAAATTGAGAAGAATTTTCAAGGTCTGAGTAAGTTTCCTTTATGGAATCCCAGACCTCTTTTGCTGTCTTCATAAACATATGAGGTTTGGCAATTGAGGCCTCCATGGAGCTGAGAAGCCAGGCTATTACAAGTGAGTTCTCTGACCTCCATGTGCTATAACCTTCCTCACAAGAAAGTTTTGGTTTGACTTCTCCCGTTAGGTACCCCAGTTTTCCCCTCCCATCAATTGCAAGCTTGATAGATTGAGACCACTCCAAATAGTTTTTTCCATTCAATCTATGGCTGGTGATTAGCATAGATGAATAGGAGATTGGTAATTTGTCATAGGGCTAATTTGGGAGTTAGGGTTTGTAATGTGGGATTAATCAGAATCTGTTCAGATCCTAAATAATAGGATCTAACTATCTACGAGCTTATCTAATAATTAATGAAGTCTATCAGCTCTAACCTCTTATCTATACACTACATACGTACATAAAATAAAGGGCTAAAGGGTCAAATAGGTACATGAACTAACTTAAAGTGTTCAATTAGCCCCTTATATAGGAGGTTCTGCCCGGCCGTCGCCAATTGGGGCGTTTCCCGGTGGAATTTTTTGATGAAATTTTTTGAGCATTTTCTTCATTAAGTCTAGTTTATCCATACCAAATTTCAGCTAAAAATTCAACCGGGAAGGCAGTCAAATGATTTTTTGAAGATAACTGCGCAGGTAAACAACGCAGTACATTTTGGAAAATCATTTGACTGCCTTCCGATTTAATTTTTAGCTGAAATTTGATATGAGTAAACTAGACTTAATGAAGAAGATGCTCAAAAATTTTCATCAAAAAATTCCACAGGGAACCGCCCCAATTGGCGACGGCCGGGCAGAACCTCCTATATAGGGGGCTAATTGAACACTTTAAGTTAGTTCATGTACCTATTTGACCCTTTAGCCTAAAATAAAGTTACAAATATATGTCACATTTTTCTACATTTTCAAAGAATAAAAAATAAATAGTCTATAATTAGTTAACAATTGATACCATAAATTCATTAAACACGCATCGTGGCAAAGTAAGGCTGATGCCCTTTGTATCACAAGTCACAACCTTAGAGCATGAACAATAAGAATGAGATGAAATTCCAAAACCATCAATCATCATATATTATATCCTTTAGATAAAAAAATATTTAGAGATACTTGTTATACTCATATATATCATGTTGCATTGCAAAACTAGTTTGTAAAATCAACATTATGTTTCCAAATTATTCGTCTTAATAGGGAGCCAAGTCCTTATGTCTTGACAGGTTATCAAATTTGAATTATTTGGAAGATAAGGCAAAACCAACTAAATATAACTGTTCTCAATTAGGATGTTTTTACTTGGACTGTAATTTGCTGGTCTGGTCTGGTAATGTCTGGTCTCTTTGTATTTTCATAACTATCCTTAGTTGTTGTTAAAATTTAAGCATTATTAAGTAGTCCAAAAGGTCATTCAGATAAACAAGTTATGCCTCAGGCAAGAGATTTCTCATCAACAATTGTAGACTTACAAAGTAACAGCCAAGTGCAAAGATAAGCCCACCGAGTGCTGCTGTGAGTCCACTCAGTCCAAAACTTTGAATCACTACAGTCACAAATGAGAGCTAATTCAAGAAAACAGTTGAAACATAGATGGTACAAGTGCACAAAAATGCCGAGAGCTAATTCAAGAAAACAGTTGAAACATAGATGGTACAAGTGCACAAAAATGCCATCTCCCCAGAAGGCAGCAAGAAGATAAGCAAACCAATCTTATAGAAAGTTTCTTTGACTGGTTGATGCATTTTTGGTTTTCATAATGCACTAGTTGTGTTTCATTATTAGGTACAAAACAGAAACTTATAATTGTTCTAAGCACATTATATGTATGGTTGATAGAGGCAACCTCAAATATAAAGATAGAACCTCTCAATCTTTTAAACTCCGTGCCTAATTAATGCTTTTATAAATATCTTTTGGGAAAAAATTGAAAAGAAAGACAAAACTAAATGAGAAAATTACTAGGAGAAAGACTGAAAGATGTGGTGATTCCTACGATATGACTAAACAGATTTTTATTTCTAATTTAACGGTGTTTTGCATGTATGATATGCGTTTTGATCCCTTCAATTTAATTATTACTCATATAGAGGCATGATTAAGTTTGTTAGTCATATATTAAGAATTTATGAATGCTTTAGTCACATATATAGATAAATTTCTAAACTAAATCCCATTTTGAAGAAAAAAAGTGGAAAGAAAAAATTCAGTAGATGCAATTGTTATTACAGGTGCAATGCACACAGAAAATAACGTCAAGCATCTGAGTAATGAAGACTTTGAAGGAGAGTGGATGCGCTACATGAGCACCCAACAGTTTCCCTAAGTATTCATGTAGCATTTCATATACCTCATATCATTGAATCAGCACTAACAATGGTCAAGTAGAGTTTAAATGTGAGAGCTACATTACAAATGACTTGTATATACATTATTATCATAACAAACTTAGCTAGAGAAAGTAAGTTACTCAAGATGGTAGTAAATGTGACGATATAGAAGATTGACTGTGCATGTGATGACGGCATTCCAGGATCCGATCTTGAGGTGGAAACAGGCCGTCTCTGGTTCAGTATTCTCTTCAGGATGTATGACAGAAGAGAATTGAGAACAGAACCTATAGAAGCCCAAAGTGCTTGTGCATCATGTTTCGAGACCAAGGTTAAACCAAAAAGCACAGCAAAAAGCCACTTACTCTGCATTTCGAGTGTAATAATGCTCTATATGAGTTAGCGTAAAAAGTGATTATTCTTTTTCTACAATTAACTATTGTGAAAGGTTCAAAGTAAAACCATGAAAAGTCCAGGTATGAAATGAAGAAAAAGATTTAAGTAAAAAAAGATGAGTTTTCACCATCAGGCACCATACTCCAACCGGTTCATCTTATTTGCGAAGTAGTTAAACCGCTACTCGGTAGCAACTCTGTCATGGGCAGAGTAGCGACTAGGACTGGGTGATTAAATTTAAAAATATAGATGCCCAACATTCTAGAAATATTTTAGTCTTATAATGCTTAGATATTAAATAAATAATAATAATCCTAATGATGAAGTAGCAAAAATGTCTCAATCTTAATGAGATGGAGGTAGTATTCACCTTTGATCCATTGCAATAAAAAACAAGTCTTGTTCGGTCATATATGGATTGTAATTGCGGCTTATGATAGGACATTATGATTAATGCATGACTGCATGAGTCATGTTAACCATATCCCTTAAGAGAATGGTTGAGAAACTAGAAGCAAAAAGTGTTTGATTGAAAAAGTTTGGAGCTGAACTTAGTTTTTACATATCTGCATTGCATTTTTTACAATCACAAAAATATTATAATTTAGATTCCTTAAACAACATGTTAATCTATTTATCTAAAGTCCATACTGGATCATAAATTGGGTTTCCCTAAACGTTCAAATTACTATCTACCCTTTTGACCATTCACTAAAATATGCTATAGGTTTTCTACGGACAAAGCATCAAATGCGTACAAGGAATCCCCAAAAGAATGAGCAATTTACTAAAGCCCCCAACCACACACATGCACAAAATCTCAAATTTTCGAAAGGAAACAGAAGAAATTTACGCAACCGTGTTATTCAGAGTGGCTTCAAGTCGAGAAGCTGCCACGACTATGGAGTCATTGATCAGAGGTTCTTGTTCGAGCGCCGCAAGACCGCCCTGATCCTCGTTGTGTGCATTGATTCGGGCCGCAACAGCGCCGTTCATGGTGAAATTTCTGCTATCCCAGTGCACAGATTTGTGGGGTGGAAAGTCGACTCTGAAGGCGGGACTTTGGGCCGTGCATCGTAATCTGGTGCAGCAAAATCCTGGAACTGGTAGGATAAGACCAGCCGCCGCTGCTGACATCTCGTTCGGAAATTAAAATTGTGGAGTTCTGCCACAAAATGTCTACACCTGTGTACGCCAAACATTTTTTGGGAAAATTATACAAATAGTACCAAATGATACAAAGTTTCTAAAAATAGGAGTCAAAATACGAGTAGTACTTAACTCCAAAGGAGTTGACATTTATACCCTTCATTTCAAAACTCTCGCGCCACGTGTAAGTTTCAGCCGCTCAACATTAAAATTTCCCTAATCGGTAAAACAACTTCTTCCGCATTTCAAAGAAAGCTCAACGGAAAAAAATTTCTGCTTCCGATCTTCAACCTTCTTCAACGAGCAAGCACGAGCGACGAAGGAGTCAGTAAATTCGACGAACAAATGGCGAAGAGAAAGAAGAAATCAGAGGCTGAAAACGATGAAATCGGGGAAGAAGTTGAAGCGGGTCAATCTGACAGTGATTTCGAAACGAAGAAACCGAACAAATCAGAGGCTCAAAACGTTCAAAACATTGAAATTGTTCTTCCGTCTGGTCAGGTATGATGTTCAATTCAATAGTTGGAAATCATGTTAAAGTATGCATATGAAATTGTCTACTTCTCTTACTGTCTATTTCTCTTGTGAAATCATCAAAAATTCTGTATGAATTATTGATAATCATTAAATGAGTAGTTGTCGTACAATTTGTAATTGATACTTAACCAAATAGAATTTTCCAGTTTGTATCCAAGCAGTCATTAATAGATTTGGTCCTATTTGTATAATTTTTCATTGATAGTATAACTACTTCTCTTACTGACTGTCTTTATGTGTGAGGAATTATATGTGTGAGGTAGACATTGTGTATATAGATAATGCTAATGTATATAGACATGTTATTTAAGAGATGTATATAGACATTGTGTTTAATTAGTAGGCAGTATATACATAAGAAAATGTTAATCATGTTATTTGTTCATTGATGATTATAATACTTATACACTGATTATGACCAGGCAATTGTAAGGTCAATTGCAAACCCTGTATTGTGTACAAAGAAGAAGATAAAATTGAATTGCTATTCAAATGTGTATAATGCCATTGAAGTAATAAAGAAGCTGCTAAATGAAGAGCAACTCAAAAAAATTAGAAATACAAGTTTTGGAGGATTATTGGACATGGGTAATCTGGAATGGATGAATGGGCAGTTGTTGGTATTAATAGCTGAAAACCATGTGAAGAAGCTTAACAAGAAGATTTGCACAGACAGGATTAATTTCCATATAGGAAATAGGGTGGTGAGTTTCAGAAAGAATCATTTGGAATTAATCACAGGATTTAAAATGGGAGGAGATAAACCGGTAGTACCTGGAGAAGACAGTATAGGTGACATATGGAAAAGATTTTTTAACGGAAGGAATAATGTTTTAAGGGCTGATATAACAAGGGCTTTTGAGGAGTTTGAAAATATACCTGTGCAAAAGGAAGCCATAGATAGGGTTAAGCTGGCAGTACTTAATTTGATTGCAAACTTTATCATTGGCAACCAGAAGTCAGTGAAATGTCCAGCAATGTACCTTAATATGGTAGATGATTTGGATTTAGTGAACAAGTATCCTTGGGAAGATGAAATATGAGCATATTTAATGGAAAAAGCGCCTAAGTGGACACAGAATATTCAAAAGGCAACCAAAGATAGGTTCACCTTTCCAGGTTTTGTTTTTGCATTGCAAATATGGACATTTGAAAGTTTCCCAGCTCTTAGGTTAGCAAATGTTTGTATGGTAGAGGAAGGCAGAAGATCAATGCGGCCAAGACTGCTGAAGTGGTCAGTACCAAAAAAGACAAACATTGTTACACTAGCAGATGCCATATTTCTGAATGAAGAGGTAAACTTTAATTTATTGTTTACTTTATTTTAGGATGTTTTCTTTTGGACTGTTTTCAGTCCCAGACCAAACCAGACCAGACCAGATCAGACCAGACCAGACTTAAACAGACCAGACCAGACCAGACTTGGATAATTATAAAATACACAGAGACAAGACATTTACCAGACCAGACCAGACCAGACCAGCAAATTTCAGTCCAAAAGAAAACATCCTTGTTGTCTACCTGATTTTATTGTCTGCACTGATATTTTTTTCCCCTATTTTATATAGTTTGAGTATGAATCAATGCAACCAACTGAGGAGGAACTTAAGATTCCAGAAATAAAGGAGTTGTATAGAAAGAAGACAGTAAATTTAGGCAAAGGAGGTCGTCTTACTCTAAAGCATAGACTATCAAAAGAGAAAGCAGACTTTGCTATTCATGCACTTCAAAAGGCAATTTCAGAGAATCAAGATGATTGTGAAGTTATTGGTGATGGTCAGAGACACTGACGGTAAAGAAAATGAGCATAAAAAAAGACAATGTGATGGTGAACAAATTGACTGCAACAATAAAGAAAATGAGGGCATGAAGGAACAAAATGGTGAGAGTGAAACGGTAAGAGGACTTCAAAGATTACAATGTTTGGTGAAGACAAGAAACAGTGTTGGGAACCAAATGAGGGACAAGGTCATTATGCGTAATATAATGGCTGCAGTTGTGCTCCAATCCAAGAAGACCCAAAAGCTTGAGGGTAGAATAAAAGTGTTGGAAGATGGAATGCAAAGACTTCTCAATGGTCAAAAGGAGCAAATAGATGTGCTAAAAGCATTAATGCTTAGAAGAAGCACATCAAATGGAGAAGCTGAAAATAATGAACAAGAAATGGGCATGGATAATGATGAAACTTCTGAGACAAGGGTAGATGAAGAGGCCTTGGTTCCAGATATGCCTAGTTTTGACCTACATCTTGATCAAACACAGAAAGATGAAGGAAATATTGTGCAAAAGGTACAAACTGCAGACAGTGATCACCATGAAGAAAATAAAGAAGTTGAAAGCGAGGATGCAAATCCCATAGGTGCACAAAAAGAGAAGACAGTAATCTTTGAAGAGGAAGGTTCACTAACTCCAGCTCAAGCAAGCATAAACACACAAGAATTAGAATTGCGTGTGAACAGTGTCCTTCATGATGTCATTAATAACTTGAAAGAAACTGACAAGAAAATAGAAGAAGAGGTAAGTTAAATATTATTACAGTTTCAGTTTTCTTAAAAACACTGATAGAGTATATGGGCCTGGACCCCATGGCCCACATACTCAACGGCCCAAAAGACACCAGCAGGACACCCGCATCGGCCAAAGGCAAACAACGTCCAAGAAAGAAGATGTCGCCTAGATCCTTGGGCAAGACCCAGGATCCGCATCGTCCATGGACCGCATCGTCCATGGACCGCATCGTCCATGGACCGCATCGTCCGGACTTCGTCCAGGCAGAATGTATTTTTTACTGTGTTTTATAAGTATTGTACACAGCCCATTAGTGGCCTTATTTCGCCCAAAGAAGGCATGATTATTGTAATGGGCCTCCTAAGCCCAAGGCTAGGGGCCCAAATCCACATTTTTACCTATAAATAGACCCCAAGGGGCTAATTATAGGGGGTTCCAAGTTGAGAAATATAATTACTCACTTTCTCTCTCTAGCTCTCACTTCTCTCTAGAATTAATACTCTATCATTTGGTGCTTTCATTGAGAGCCTAGAACAGATCAAGTGAGTACCCTTCGTCGCTACCAGACACTACCACTAGCTATGACAAGAACTAGGTCAAAGAACACTGGTAGGAACGCCCCTCTGAACCAGGAAGGGCAGGGAAACGTTGCTGACAACGTCCCCAATGATCTCATCATCCAGGATGAGAATGCTCAGGAGGTCGAGCACGCGACGGCTGACCTTCGCGTCCAGCTCAACACGACTGCTCCGGATGCTCGCATCGGACTTGAAGACAGACGCAATGCTGATCGCACTTCGGGCCAGCAGGCCTCTCACCCTGCTGCTCCCCAGATCAACCCGGCCGCATTATCGGCCATTGTTGCGAGCATCCTCCAGGACCCCAACGTTGTCAGCGCTCTTGTCGCAAAGACCGGGGAAAACAACACTCCTGTAACGGGGGAGGTCGCGACGGTGCCGCCGCCGCCACCTCGTCCACAAGGCGTCACCTTCTTCGGCGACCACGAGGATGTCCTCGCCGTGGACACCCACTCCCATACCGCCTCTCCTACCCGGGATACACCGGCCCAACCTCGCGGTAAAATCTTGGCCTGCAACAGGCTGGGTGACATCGCGAGCCGTCGGGTACCTACGGGAAGGGTTGCGGATCGGTTGGGTGGTCGCGAGCCGGGATCACCAAAGGAAAGCTTCGGGTCCGTTTCCCGGACAACGGATCGACCCCGACCAGACAAAGGAAAGGGAAAGCTGAATGATGACGATGCGCGTCACCAAATCAACCTGGCCCACGCGGACCGGATCCAGACCCCTCTGGGTGGCGCCGCGGCCAACGCGGACCCAAGGGATGAGATCATCGCCCGCCTGGAGAAGCGCCTCGCTGATATGGAGGCCCGGGAGGCCGCAGGGCGCGCAGCGGCTCATACATCCCAGCATCCCAACTACGACGCGCTCCTGAACAAGGTCAGTGCTCTGGAAAGGGAATTGGCCGACCGACGTGACGAGCCCGTCATCCAGATAAGAACAAGGACCCCCTTCTCCGCGAGGGTGCTCTCTGCCCCCATCCCAGAGAAGTATAAGGGAAACCCGATCAAGCCATATGACGGCCGCACTGATCCCCAGGAGCACTTCACCCGTTATCAGAACAATATGATGATGACCAACGCTTCGGAGGAGTACATGTGTCGCTGGTTCCTATCCACCTTGGAGGGACCAGCGTACGATTGGTTCAACAACCTTCCGGAGGGAAGCATCGACTCATGGCAGGACCTTGCTCAACGCTTCCTCACCCACTTTGCCGGGAGGAAACGTGCGAAGAAGCATTTCGCTCATCTCCTGACCATCAAACAACAACCGGAAGAGACGCTCCGAACCTTCCTCGATCGCTGGACGAGGGAGGCGGACGAATGTGAAGGAGCCGATGAACTCACCCTCCTGGCCTTCCTCCGCGGAGCACTTCGGCCGAGCCACTTCGCCCGAAGTCTATTCACAGAGCCCCCGCGGTCATACCTCGCGGCGCTCCGGCGC